TATGTGGTTTATTACCTTAATAAGTTGTATTTTTCTAAACAGAAGTTGGTCTACAGTATTGAACCCAGGTTGTCAGCACTGTAGTCTAACACGCTACTGCTGAGCTTTTGTGGTCAATGTAAAGATGCCTCTTTTTATGAGACAAAGTGACAATAAAGAATGTGATAAATAATACTGTGTGTTTGAAAGAAACAGTGAGGTGTCAACACCCAATATTTCAGCCAGTAAGTCAGAGAAATTTCCACTCTTACACCGCAAAACTGGAGTCAGATTGGAGGTTAACAATCGAGTAGATCTCACTGTCAGTGAATTTTAATGACATCTGTATTAATGGTATACAATGAAAATTGTCAGGTAAATTTAATTTTGGTATATACTGGCCACTTGTAACCACTACATTACATGAAGCCAAAATAAAGAAAGTCTATCCAATTTCTCAAAAATAGCTCATCATACAAAAAATTGCTACATAATATAAAATATAGTTCCCTTTAATGTCTGACTTTTAAATAACACATTTTACAATTTTATATATATATATATATATATAAACAAAACAATAAATATTTAACAAATTTCAATTAAAGTATTTTCTTCAGTGTGCTAGTTATAGTGTATATTCATATATACAATAAATGAACAGATATTAAAACTGATATGTACTCAGCTATGTAATTTATCTAGTTTTATCTTACCAGGTATTTCACTTAATAGCTACTCTGTCTCCTCTTAATAAAACAGCAAATTAAGAAAATTTTAAAAAATAGGAAACAATTAGAGGCAACACATGAAACTTCTGAGGCCAATTTACTGAGTTACACTTCGCAATAAAATTAAAAGTTAAGATATTTGCAGAGTTGGGAAAACAGAATATAACTGAGAAGATTAAAGAATATCAAAATGGAAGCAGTAAGTATCAAGAATGCCTCTATATAGATTTCCCTGACAAGTTAATACTCATTAAATTATTGAATGATTAATTATAGCTCCAGAACACATCATAATGGCCCAAACTGTGTTCGGAAGAACACAAGAATAAGAACAAAATAATGCATATTGCAAGATCTGAAATTAGAAACATAAGAATTTTTTTTAAATGAAGTATATAGTGGTATAAACATGTGTTACCCATGGGGATGATAGCATAAGAAATGACGATAACCATCACAAATGATAAAGCATATTGTAACTTACATAGTTTGAAAGATCATGAAGACCATACGGGAACCTCAGTCTGTCGGGTACAAGTTGACCTGAATAACTTCGATCTTTCTCCAGCCAGCAGTCATCGATGTTGATGTACTCATATCCTACAGCTGCATAGCCTTCCGACACTACGAGATCAGTCATAGTGCGGAACAGACGATCACTGCACAAAGAGTGATAAATACACATGCAAATTTTTAAATCAAAGGCCTCACTTCTGTGAAACATTACAAGCAGAAACATAAACAATGTCAGTGGTACTAGACATGTTCAGTTCTTATAACAGCTTTTATAAAGGCAGTTTTTTCCTTATTGAAAGTCACTTATTCCTCCTCACAGTGATATAAAAAATATTTCAACCTCAGTAAAGGGATGGAACTCAGCATATACAGGTACCATATAGGTCTACATGGTCCCTTAACTCCAAATGGAATGACAATCATGAAATAACTTAATACAGTCGAACCTCAATATAACGCGGGTTTTGGGGGACAGCTTCAGTACTCGCGTTACATGTGAAATTGACATTTATCTTATTTTGGAATCCTTAACATTATGTATATTTATACAGTGACTAAAATACATGACATTTAAGGTAAATTTCAAACTTGTGTTTCACCAGTGCTACTGGCACAGACCACTCTAAATTACATAACATTTATGCCTCCTTACAAAAATAGTCATGTAAAACACGTAATCATATTGGGGGACATAATTAAAGCTGCGGTATAACCGAGTCCATGGAATAATGAGGCGCGCTATATATCAAGGTTCTCCTGTAATTCCATATTCCTAATAAAGTCGAAGACACTTCTTCACCCCACTTCTTTCCGAAGACAATTTTGGAATGCATATGTAATTTAATTTTTTTATCATTATTTTATATTTTGGACATAACATATTTATCCACATTAAAAAAGTTGAGTACTGTAAATTATTAAATTAAATATTGCAAGCTACATGAAAGCATGGAATGATACAGACTCACCTGACACAAAACCTACATCAAGTATAGAAACAGAGCATACAATTGCATATTCCATATACCTATGCCTTTCTCCAATCCCATATAAACCACTTCACTTTCCAGCATCGCCACTTCAGACCCGAAGGTGGCAACAGTAATTTTCTTTGAAAAACTGACATCTACTGACAAGTCTACACAGCAGCAAACCCAGAAGATCATCATTATCATCCTCCAGTAGTACCCTAAAATCTCATCATTCACCTAATTCCTGAACTTCAAACCCAAAGCAGATTCTGAAGTAAGTAAATAATTTTACATACTTTATACTGTCATATCATCTTTTTAAACGTTGTGTCCCATTTCTGACAAGAAAGGGTTACAATGTTTAAATCTAACTGTATTCGGTTCAAGAAACATTTACATTACTTGTATTTAAACTAATGTTTCTGTCCAACAAGATTTCACATTTCACCAAACCAAAAATTATCTCAGTACCAACTATGCATTTGTTATGTTTGTAGTAAAAAGTTTATAACAGTAAGGGAAGAAGCACAAATCCTCCAACTCCCTGCACAAGCATGGGCAAAGAAAAACATCAACCTCAGTCAGACTTAAACATCAAATGTGGAATTAGTACATAATTAATTATGGCACCACATGCAGTGACTGGTACATGAATACCAACATACTATATCATCTGACTTCCATTCAATTATATTCATAACATATTACACAACTTCAGACTGCAGTCAAACATTATTTAATATGGTGTGGGGCTTCCCAGTTCCTCAAGCACTTTTTTAACTTTCTGATGATACAACTGATAAAATTTAAATACCCATTATTTAGTGCTGCAACATTCCCTGTCCTGTACATAATTAAGATAAAAAGTACAGCCCTAGGACACATATTCTCAAAATTGTGCTTCAAGAGATTTGAAAAAAGCCACTCATTAGAATTTCATGACAAGCATAATTTGAGGTTCTCATGGCGGTGAGTATGTCTTCTGCGTTGTAGTGCCATGTAGTCTGGTAGAAGTTCGCCAACATTTCACCGACATTTTACATTGGAGAATCTAACTATAAATTAGCAATAAAATGCGTATCTAAGCATTACTGCAAGTTCAGACTCAAGCCTTTTTGAAAACTTAAACAATGTTCATATGTACACACCTGTCTAAAAGGCAAATTTTGAGATCTTAATAATAAATATCTTATTGTGTGCACAGACTTTTCATGTAAAAAGTTTTTTAATTCCCATAAAACCTGATTTGAACACACAGCTGCTGTCTTTCCATTCCTTTTATTTACGAAGCAAAGCAAGTGCTCGGCGTGAGAATATCATTAAAAGAATTCACAGGAAAACAATGATCTTTGTATATCCGTGTCGTGACAAACTATCTAAAATAAAGACATAAAACAACAGTTCTAAATTACATGTCAACATGTGTAAATGTATGCTAATGCTTAACTCACACATCTATTCAAGTCTGGTTTTCATAAATACTGAAATCAAAATGTAAGGACATGATACAGTCCACAAATTCCAGTCAGTGTTACGCTGTTACTAGTGAAGTTTTCCATCTTGGTAACTAAAGAGTCTGATGTTAAAACTTATATTTCACCTCTCCCTTCTGTGGCATTTAATGTTGTAACCGGTGACAAGAAACAGGATATGGAGTTCTGGAGTCAGCTACTGCATCCTGACCAAACAGATTCTTGGATGAAAATGTCTGGTAACTTACATTATGTCACATGCCCTCACATATGAATTTCATTTTGTATGTTCAGTGTAGGTGATTATAATGTCTCATTAATTTTAATACCAGAAGTTAATTATAATATCACAAGTAAACATATTTTGATGTACCAGTAATAATTAATTTTGTAGGTTATTATTTATATTTTATAATCTGAACCAGGAATACAACCACTGGAAAACCCACTGCCATTTTCCTACTCTGGTAAGTCAAGAAAGGTACTTGACTTCCCTAAGGTAGTTTATATACTGTACAGTATGTTTGCTCCAATTTTAGAATTGTCATTAACACTGATAAGCAAGTTACAGCTTTGTACTGTAAAGTAAAGAAAAATTGCTGGATGAAATGCGAAATCCAATACCAGATTTCACATCTTTCAACCCTACACATATCAGAAAAACTCTATAGTGTCAGACTTCATTTACCCAAATTACATCTATTACAAAACAAATATTTGCAGGCATTTTTTACACAGTCTAATCAGTGATATATATGCCTAAACTTCCAACTCTGAGATACAAAACATGATCAAAATGAAACAAACATTAGTATTCTAATGCCGACTCTCTTCTGTGATGTTCTGCCATGTAGTCTGGTAGATTTATTTAAACTATCCAACAATCAATTAACCTAAATAATAACAGCTTGAATTTCAGAGCTGTAAAATGGTGCAAAAAGTCTTCTCATTTATGTCATATGGTAAATCTATGGATACATGGTGAAGATTACAGATTATAAAGCTACTCATTATACAGCTTTCTCCAGCCACTTTCTTCCTCTTATGCCCAAATATTCTCCTAAGCACAGTGTTTTCAAATGCCCTCAATCTGAGTCCTTTCCTTACTGTGAAGGATCAAGTTTCAAAAAACATACAAAACAAGAGGTAAAATTATAGTTCTTCATATTTGAAGTTTCTTTCCTGAGATAGGCAGTGACAAAGATTCTGAACTGAACAGTAGCAAACATACCCAAATTTAATATGATCTTAATTTCTTCGTGAATGTAATTTTTATTAAGAATTTGAGGTTTTCACAGCAGTGAGTCTGAAGATTGCTGTCTTCTAGGTTATTGCACCATGTAGTCTGGTAGATTTCCACCACCGTTTCAGAGGTCATACTGCCTCTGTCATCAGGGTGATGAATGTGACATTCACGGTGCAAAAACTCGATGGCTGTCTTCTGCGTTGTTGTGACATGTAGATTGCCAGAAGTTTACTTAAATTTCAGAGGTCCTTGCTGCCTCCATCATCAGAGCAATAAGTAAGCCACGTGTGTGGAAATGGTTAGAATTATAGGAAACTGACAGTCAAGGAAGAGCCTTGGCCTAACCCGGAGAGGATGTGGGAACCAACAGGAACATGGGGGGCACTACTACCATATATTTGTTTACCTGGCTTAACATTCTTGCAGCGTTCCTAGTTTATGTTTTAATCACATCATATATTTATTACTCATACATGATTAACTAAAAGGAGCTCTGCATCAATGTACCATACCTTATACAATTGTCAGGATCATTCTTGCAGTCTGTATTGCATCGAAAACGTTCCCATGAGAGCCAGCCCATGGGTGGAGTCCGGGCCAGCCCATTCTCCAGCGCCTGAACCACTGATGAAAATACAAACACCACTACTACCACACATGACACATAATTCACCCCACGACTGTCCATAACTATGTCAAGTGTGCACTATCTGAAACAGATCGTATTGTGGTATCAGCATAACAACACTAGAGTCACTACGACACACTTCACATTGACAGTTCCCAACTCTCGAAGCAGCCTCGGTGTAAAGTGTCAAATCTGACTGAACTATATTTACATTCCTGGAAATGTGTGTCTGAAAAAATGTTTGATGGAGGTAATGACTACTTATTTAGTCAGCTGAAATGATTACTCTGAAATTTAATAAATGTGTAGAGTGATTTATGACAGGGCACTAAAATGTTTTATTATTAACTGTCTAATTAAATACAACCATCAAGCTATGCAAGAAAAAAATGAAATAAAATAAAAAATGTCTGTAAGGAATTCACATTTCCAGGAAAAATGTTTCATAATTTTCATAGTTTAATTTAATATGCCAAAGTCTTCAGTCAATATGAACTCAGCTACAAAATAAAAATACAATCCATTTAGTTTTAAAATACCAAAGTCCCCAGTTAGGAACAGAACATTTCCAGCAAATTTAAAAGAGAGCAGAACTACATAAACGTTTGTAACCACTTGTACGTGCACAAACACACAACAGAACTCTTCACTCCTTTGTGCCAGCAAGCCAACTAACACAACTGTAGCCTCTTGCTCGTGCACAGCCAGCAGATCTCCCCTCCCGCCCACTCCTAGCACTTTCACCCAATGCCCCAGATTTAAAATGACTTCAGGCATCTACAATAGTATTATTTGGCAGCAAAACATTCTTCCCATGGTCATTAGCCACGGTACACATAACATTTCACATCCCTTACCATTCACTATTACAGTTGTATGTCTCAACTAGGAAGGCAACTCCTATGGCCATTACAGGAAACAGAATAACCTTTGTAATCACTCTGTCTGTGATATAACAGTTGTAGTTTGTTCCTACACTGTCCATGGAATGAATGCTATACAAGGTGAGGTCTGTGTTAGTTTTGCAATAGTAAGAGAATTCTATCTGCAATATTCTAGTTCTGGCATTTAAAACTGCAACTAGCTCTCTATGGTAACACAGATCTAGAATATCAACTCACAACTTCAGCATTAAGCCTTCTATCTAACGATGCAAAAACATCAATACACTTATCACAGACTAAAATTTACATGGAATGTTATGAGTCTTTCTGTATGGAAAATTGTACAAGATTTCAAATTATAATTTTTACAGTCAGAAGATTTTAAAATCAACCCCATTCTGTAGCGTTAGTACTAAACAACTTACATGAAATATGTTATTACTGAACTTACAACTGTTCACCTTTATTTTTAATTTGTTATATACTAATGACTTGTCAGTGGCAATTAACAAAATCCTTCCCCAATTTATACCATTTCTGGGGAGTGCTATTTTCAAATTCTGACAAAATTTCTCATCCTATAATCAGTTTAAGACAAATATCTTCTGTACATCTTGAAATAGACTGTCTTCTACTCCCAGCTACCAACTTTTACCTTATTTTTAAGTGGCCCAAGAAACAATATTTACTTTCAGCATATCAAGGAATGGTTCCAGGTTTGTTTGTATAGAAAATCTTATCATGTCTTGTCATTACTTTTCAAAACTGAAACATTTTTATCTAAGATCTGAGAGACATCCAAAATAATAAAGTATTAAGGAGGCAACGAAGAATATCCACAAATATGAAGACTAAGAAAGAAAACTATTAGGAAAATTTCATTCACCATAACTTGCCTTGAAATTTGATCTGTTGAAAATGAATTTGATAAGACTGTATATATGCATCAACTGCAGTAGAAAGAGATTTTTAGCTGGCAGTCACGCCCTGTCAGAGACAGCATATTAACCCACCACACAGCACTATGTTCATTATCATTCTGCCCCCGCCCCCACTTCCACACACACAAAACAAATAAATATAATTTTAAAATATATTTTTTATGTAAAACAAACCAATGTCAACTGAAGTCCTTCCAATAAAATACATTTAAATTAATTGTACATATTTTTATTACTGTGCCCAATGATGGTGATTACAGTTGTATCCTATATTACAAGTGTTGGTTACGATCAGCCTTGGTTAGTACAATTGTAATGCAAATCTCATGGATATGCAGCAGGAGTGGCAACCATATGCAATAACATTCAGTTCAAATCTGAAGTGCTGTTTATAAAACATGTAAACTGTTCCAAAAGCAAAAAGCATTTTCAAAAGCATCCCAATTAAAACAAAGATTTTAATGGTAAACAAAACACATACAATGTTAATAATAAAAATTTTCTTGTTCTGCTATCACAGACCAGGTACTCTGGCCTGCTTTGCCTAAATACTAATTGTAAGGCAACCACTCTTTCTGACACACAGGCAATAAGGTACAAACCTACTGGAAGTTTGTGCTCAGGTTGAAAATACCTGTACATGCAAAAAAATTGAAAATTTTATAATGCTGGCATTGTTGCTGCACTATTTAGACTCTTGCAATTAACAACACTCTATAACAGACACTGAAATGAATATAGCAACATCAGAAAAGGGGAAATACAATTAGAGTTTATAGTGAAAAGTGTCTATGGTATTTCTACAGTAATAAGAATGCTCTCTAAACACTACCTTACATGAATGTCAGACAAAAGTTCCATTTCCTTGCTGGCAGAATGATTGATGTTCAGAATTCAAAACCAAATCACCTCATACAAAATTTCTCCATGATAGGATACATGTATTCATACGAAACATGCATGAATCACGGTTATTTGAAACACATGTTTACATAAAAATAATTTAGTTTTGTGGACACAGACGACTGGAATTACAAAAACTGCGAAATATGTGAATTGCAAAACATCGGTCCACGGAAATACCCTGTCAGTTCACTGTAATAATACCACACATTATTAGTACAATAAATACAAAAGCACCTCCCAAATTGATTAATTTTAACTGCACTATTCTTATGGATACAATATTACGAACATAACCTAGTATAATCATTTGTACATGCACTGCAGATAAAAACAGTGTAACTAGATTTTACCTTGAACAAATTGCTCTCGTTTCACTTCCAACACGACGGCCAGCTTCCGTTTAGTGAAGGTAAAAGCTGCCTTTTAAAAGAACGAGGCCACAGATTGGCAGCACCCTACACCGTCACTTTGTGCTTAAACGAGCCCCAATGTTAAAACGTACTTCAAAGTGCCCGGTATTGTGATTTCGAAACACATTAGGAATGTCTGAAGTTCACCACTTACATGCAATTAACTAACTTCCATTACAGAAATATGGCATATTACTACCACGGACATTAGTCTCTAGACTTCACTGCTCGCACCAAGGTGACATGTTTTATTATCACGATGCAATGCTTAATTGCGCTGCGCTGATAAACATGCGCGTGGTTTGCACCAAGACTACAACTGTTCACAATTCTCTAGAGCTTGTTAATTATTTTTATATTGGTATTCCATATGAGTATAGCCAACTTGAGGCAAAATTCTCTTATTTTGCTTCCGGAATCGAGGATACGGAATGTTTGAGCAGAATTACCGGTACAATATAAGCCGAGTGGTTGGCACTCCTGCTTAGAGTTCAGAAGGTCCCGGGTTCAAATCCCCACCAGGAAACCGACTGTGCTGATTAAAGTTTTAGTTCTTGCTCCTGAGAGTGTCGTTAAATAAACCATGAATAAACAAATATTTTGGTTGTGAGGATTATTTCTGTACAGTAAGTTTTGTTTTGTACGATGAATTTGTGAAATGTATAATACGCATAATAACTTAAACAACCAATCGATTATTTGAAGGCTTTACACCCAGTGAGCTCAGAAAGTTGGAAAGCCCTGATGTAAGGTGTCTCCTGGACAGCTGACAACACAAGGGCAAGACTTTCTCTTCGGCGTAGGAGTAATGTAATAAAATTATACTGCTACAAACAATTTATAGACCTGAGTCGGCACGATACATCCTCATATATTATTCGTAACACACGATGACCTACCAAACCATATACTCGGTATGTGACAGAAAGTAGGTTGACGCAAAAACTTCTTTGCAAAGTCGCGGTTACTTAGCTGTCCGGTAAGAATGCAAAGTTGACCCTGTGATTAATTATGCACCATTGCATGAGAAAAAGCTCCGTGGTGTCTTAAAATAAGCAGTGGATACAGGAGAATAGCCTGTTTAATTCTAACCTAACCTCGGGAGGATGAGCATGTAGTATACCTACGGTCTGTTAGGAGACTGGGCGGGTCCCACAGTTACTTTGGTTTAGATTGTTGCGGTTGTAACCTTGAAAAACACAGTTGCATATGATACCATTGTTTCCGTGTTGTTCCCTTGAGTGCCCTGCTGAAGTCATCGCCCGTGATATGACGGAAAGTACACCTTTGGAATTTTACCGTAAACCAAAGGTTAAACCTTTCCGGTATTGTGACATCATTATCCCACCTACGTCTTGTATTCCAAGTCATCTCCGTCCTTAAGATTTTCTCCCGAAGGTCCTGTTTGCTCCACTATTCTAGTTTTCTTTTATTTGATAGTTCTAATAATATTTGACGGAGAGAGAAAATTTTAGCTTTCTATTTTCACACTCCTGAAACTTCATTTGTCTTAGTTTTCCCTGTTCTGCTCTGAAATGCCCTCAACCTATGTTCTTCCCTTCACATGAAAGTAAGTTCCACACCAAAACATGGCCACTTACGTAAAGGGGAGTTTTACTTCAACTATACGGCTGACACCTAACTTAACCACTGATCTGCTTTTTTAGCCCACAACCCGAAGTCATATATAAAACCCCGCCAATAGAGAGTCTATCAATTCTGTACAAATTTTTGTAACAGACTATATTCAAGCTGAGGTTTTAACAGAACGCCCAAGATGGAGGCTTACCCATCGCCGGCTGCCCGCAACAGCTTGCCCAATGCATTACATTTCGAGATCGTCTCTTACTGACATGTCGTCTCACGGTTACCTGCTACACCATTTCCGGGGCGAGTGACTGTCGTGTTTCAATTGCCTGCCTGCGTTTCTCAATTGTTTTCTGTTGAACAAGAAACCACGTAACAACACGCTAGGTATACAATAAGAAGCCTTAGTTTGTACGAGGTATAACGAAAGGATATGCTTGTTGGTTATGAAATAACTGTTTTATTGCATATTTATATATGTGTGGTCTTTTGTTTAAACATTTCGCGCGTAATAACAGTAAATTTGCTGTATTTTATAGATGTAAACGATTTCCTACCGGATACAGTGAGAAATAATTACGAAAAATAACAGCTTTCGTTATGAAGGACGTTATAACCATGAATTGTAATCATGTCGACTCAAGAGTTCGTAAGTATTTTGTAATCTCTGTTTCAGCTTAAAGCAACTTTGCATTTAGTTTTACTCCTTATCATGCGAATTGTGGTGTCAGAGTTCCAGTACACCGTTGTAATTTATGAAATCTTGATTTTTATAAAACTCAGAGGGAATGGCGAATTGTGGTTTCTGTTATGTTTTCAAAGTGGTACTGTGCAAACTCATGAGGTGACAGGGAATCAATACGAGTAGGATACCGAACGTGTACAAACATGTACAAAATATGTACGTCGTACAAACACAACAACAAACAATGAGCAAAAATAATTTTGAAGTAGCATGTTACTGAGCTCAAAGCAGATGTGTTTCTTCTCCCAGTCTTTTAAGTGTTGTCGATGATAATACAGACTCGATGTTACACGACACAGTTATGCGTAAATGTAAGAAATTACCGTAGCTTGTCTACAGAAAAGGACGATAAAGTTTAGTCAGGATAATGACAGCCTAGAATGACGATTCCCAGCAAAGGCGATTTTGTCCCCATTAATATTTTAATTTTTCATTTCTGAAATTACCTGCGGGCTATATTCGAAAGTTCTGCTGGCCACGGACTTCACATGCATTAGCCTTCAGGAAACGTAACATGAAATTCAACACTGAACTTTGTTTAATGACAATCTCAGTCACCACTGTTTTTCCAAGAAGAGAGACATTTATCCTGCGGGTCGATTCTGCTGTCAGTTTCTGTCTTAACACATAGAATGTCCCAGAAAGACGTGTACACAATGCTAACGCAAGTAATGATTGTGTGTGTGTGTGTGTGTGTGTGTGTATATATATGTATATATATATATATATATATTAGGGCATTTTGTATAACAATATTTTGACCGGGAGTAACATGTCAGAACAAAAGACTTGCTTTCACTTCCGCCCACAGGGAAATGGGAGCAAAAGGTTAATTTCTGCTCAGAGACCCGCGTTTCTGACTTTCCTCATTTGTACTGTTCTTTATTAACTAACTAACTAGATGGCTTACCGAACCCGAAGGTTCATCACCGAATTAACCAAAGCCCCCCACCGGACCCTGTCTTGGGCCAACAAAATCCAGTCTCCTTCAACTCCTATCTCCCATAGATCCCGCCTGAGGTATCCACTCTCATCACAACCTTCGCGTGTCTGTAAACAAACTTCACATAACCGATAATGTTCGTTTAAATGCACAGACCTGACAGAATAATATAATTTATAGCTGGGCTGTTCTTTCATGTACTGCATTGTTTTGATAGATAAAACACGGAAATAAACTGTTAGAATGTTTCTCTTCTTCTCAAGATTACGTAACGTGACGCCACCTATCAGCAAGGCTAGACTGACGCACGCATTAGGACGAGAAACGTTATCACCAACTTAAATAGTCCAACGGCAGACTCGTGGACATTAATGCAACCTCGGTTTCCATAAACAGAGGACAATTTCTCGAACAGCAGAACGAAAACTGGTTTACAAAATTTTCTCTGTGTAGTTGCTTAAAAACAGTGCTTAGGTTTTGGAACAAATCGGATGAAGTACACATGGTAGATGCTAGATGTTAAACGACGAAGTAGGATTTATAAAGGCATGATAGTAGGTTTATTGCTTAAGCAGTAAAATTAAAATTACCATAGGCTGGCTATATAGCACAGGCTCAGAAAACAAGAAATACATAATAAGATTTTAGGTTTTTGTTGAGGTGAAATTCTGTACTGTTTTCTTGTAGATGGTTTCTAACGCTTCAGAGGAACTCCATCTTTGGGTAAACGTATTTTCGAAACTTAAAAGATTCCAGGGAGTCATGATTCAGAAGACAGTAACTGAAATGTTCACGTAAAGACGTCAAATCTCGTATGGTGGACCTTATCTCTATAGGGAGGCAATGCCACATAAATTTCGCAGATTATAATCCTTAATCACTTTTACCATGAAGATGGAGTCAGCATGTTTCTCAAAAACGTCGTCGACAAGCTGAAAGTCTGCATGTTATCATAACCCAGAAGATCATAATTCAAGAAATGATTGGGCCAACCTTTAAAAAGTATATCATATGAAAATAATGGTAAAATACATTTTCTAAGAAAGATGCTTATTATTCGTTAGGTATTTTTTGTGAAATTGACTATATCCAAATAATGATTTTAAAGATATCTTGATGTGAAAACACAAAGTACGAAGCAAAACTGTATTAAATCTAATTATTTTAATCAAATAGATTCATATTTATAATAGTTGCTAGTTGTCCAAAACAAGGTTGGTGAGTCATGACGTAAAACTGAGACTAGCAGGCAACTACTGGACACGAAGAGGCTAAGAAACATTTCCACTGGCTTTGATGTCTAAAGAGAAGAGTTATAAAGTATGTACTGTTAAGTGCATTGGCTGTCTCGCACATAGTTCCTGGTTGAAAGAAACTAGCATGAATCACGTTATCTCTATTACTTAATGATAGCTTTACGCTTTAATAGAAGATTGACAGATAAACAGCTCACGAAATTCATTGCCGCTACTACCTCTAAGAGAGAGAACGATAATTAAGCAATAATTTATTTTATTTTTATTGTATTTAAAAACTTTAATAAAATATGTCTGGCGCTTTCCTTTAAAAGTCTTTCTTGAAATGTGGTATACTATATTAATGAAATTAAACTATCCATTTTTAAGCCTAGCACTAACAAATAATTTACATAAACAGATTTTGTAGGATTTGAAGTTTTCACAGCGGTGAGTCTGTCTTTTGGGTGACGATTATCGCCCTGATGATGAAGGCAGCAAGGACAACTGAAATATCGGTAAACTTCTACCAGACTACACGGCGCAACAACTCAGAAGACAGGCATATTCACATAAGGATTTGTAAGAAAGGTGTTGTGTCTTATCTGTAGGTTATGTGCTGACATTCACTAGGACTAAGAGAAACTACGAAAACCCTCAATTAGAATGACATGTGACCAGGCAGTTATTTGACCCATTGTGGTTAGTGATCACAGATAATCGTCACCCCTAAAGACGAAAGCAGTATGTTAATCTAAAACGTAGGTGTCCACCTGTGATTTCACACGATGTCATAACCCTCAAGACCACTA